ACACAGACTGACCTCTAACTACAACTCACAAAGCTTTGGACTTCCTCCAAAGTACTCTCTCCTCGCCAGATGGCAGCTGCCTACCCCGCCTACTCTTTCTTATAAATTTGATGCACTTCTTTTCACTTCCAAAGGCAGATAAATCACATCTAGGAGTCCCAAAGCCATTGAAGAAGAGTTTCCTATCTGCTCTCTGATAACATGGGAGATTAAACTACCTGTTCCTATCTCATTCATAGCCCTCCAGGCAGCTTGGGCTATTGACAGGGCAGCAGCTGCAGAGTTCGCTATCCCTCAAACACCCTTGGGAAGCCAGTCACCATCCTCTAAGCAGGAGATGGGGCAACCTCTGCCATCATCTTAGCCACGTGCAAGCCAGATCACCACCCTGAGGTGTGGAGTTGCCCCTGAAGGCCTCTTACACCCCCACCAGCTACAGTTGTTGCCTGATGAATTGTTCCCACAGATGTTGTTGTTGCATAAGGTGAACACAGTGTCAGCCTGTGGCTGTGGGAACTCCATCTCTGCAGCCAAAAAACCTAACTGGCCTTGGGTGCAGGAGGGAAGACCAAGCATTTCTGGTGTTGCTGCCACGAGACAGAAAACATAATGTTGTCTCCAGCAGTAACACTTTCTCTAGCTGTCACAGCTCCACGGTGGAACAATCAGAGAGTAATTAATTCCAAGCACAATATCTTTGCCCACCTCTCAGCTTCTGTTCCTCTGACAGGTAGTAGCCTTCCCTACCTGTCCCTGTTTAGCAGAGACACCTGGCTGGGATGAAGCTTCATCCATTGATGTCTGGGGCATGCTTATGGCCTGATGGGAGACCTTGAAAGCAGACTGGTGACTCAGGGGGTGGCAGAAATTTGATGATTCAACTCTGGCCTGGCCTTGCTGTCCCCTTCCTCCCTCTGATGTCTTCAGCAAACCAGCAGACCAAAAAAAGCCAAGGTGAAACAAACAGAGTGAAATGCAAGAAGCAGCACATGCCATGCATCTTGCTCTTTATCACTCCTGGTCTCAGGAGTAGAGGGTAGGCTTGAAAAACTCAGACACTTCATTACAAACAACAAGACAAAGATTTATTTCCTTTTCAAGTGAAATAGAAGAGTAAATACAAAAAAATCTCCAATATAGAATATAATATTCTCCTAGGCTATACAACCCATCTCTTTTTCAAAGTCTGCCCAGGGCTGACTGTACCAGAACTCGTGCAGAACAGAAACCAAGATGCTCTGTCCTTCGAGAAATGAGCTCTTTCAAGGCCCTTCTCTCTTCTTGTCAGTCCTCACAGTTAAGAGTTTCCCACAGGCTTACAATCCAAATTGATTGGACTCTTCTCCCAGAAATCAAAACATTAGTTTGAAACTTATACTAACTTTGCTAAAATGAAGGCCCTCAGATATTTACAATAAAACTTCCAGAAATCAAAATTTGTCCTTATTCTTGATGGTGCCTGAGAATTACAAGCAAAGTGCCATCCAAAAACACATTGAGATCCAAATGTTTAACATATCCCCATGGCACAAATGTACATTGAGATCCAGTTTTCTAACATATCCCCTCGGCATATCCCCATATCCTCACAGAGACCCAACGCCACGGCTCCCCAGGGACACAACAAGCTTATCTTCCTCTGTCAGTGGCCATGCCATTGCATGACACACACAGGCACATGCACAACCACAGGATCAGCACATCCTGCTGCCACAAGGCAGAACCCAGACAGACCCCACAGAGCAATGTTCAGCGCACCCTTTGTGTCTGAGCTTACACGACAGCTCAGGAAGGTTGCAACAGCCACAAAACCACAACAGTGCTGCTGAGAAGGGATCTCTGGCATCTTCAGGCCTGCTGGAAAAGGGAGGCTTGAGCACTGCCAGCACTAGCAAAAGGCAGGTATAGCTTTGTCTATTTTCACCTCGAAAAACTCAAAGCACAGACCCCACACAGATGCAGAGTCCCTTGAACAGTCCTTGTAGCTCTTCATGGTTTTGCCCAGGGTTTCCAGCTGTTTGTGACAGAATTTTAAGCAGTTTTTGGCCATGTCTCAGGTTCTTGATGCAACAAGTTCATTACTGCATCTGCTGCAAAAAGTACATCTTCTAGGTATGCCTGGTTTCTCTAGGTAGGTATAAAAGGTCTGCAGAGAAACAAGAACAAGCATCTAGACCTTATCTGCAAACTACACAATCTGTGCATTCTGAGTCATCAAGATCTATCAGGCATGTCCTCAAGACATTGAGTTTTGCTCCCTCAACTGGCCACAGATGCTACCTGAGGTCAGAAGCAGCTTACACAAGACCTGCATCATCACTAGTGACCATTTTTTTTTTTTAAACTGAACTTCAGACTAGCACCAGGGCTGGAGTAGCAAACAAAACTAGGTTGAAGAGAAACAAGGGCCAGAAGGCCTCTAGGATCAGGAAAATTATCTGATCCACACTGATAACTGCTTCTACAGGAAGGAAAGAAAACATTAAAAGGCAGGACAGTTCTTGTCCCAGCTACTCCCAAACCATCAAGAGGACAGCATGACTTGCTAGCAAAGGGACACAGTCCAGTCCTTGCAGGCAGTGAAAGCAGAGAGGCAGCAGGCAGCTGTCAAAAAACCTGGAAGCTGACACAGCTGGATGTACAGCTCCTCTTCCAGATGGTGAAGGGAGAGGATGGGAGAGGAGCTAGCATGGCTGCTGAGAAGACCTGCCCCAGGATGAGGCAGCCAAGCTGCAGACAAGACTCTGCTCACTCCAGGATGAAGCAGCTTCTGGATGTGCCAGGACCAGGAAGGACATTGAAAGATAAAACACAGCTCTTCAGAAGGGAAAGGAAAGGAACAATCTGATCCACCTGACCACACCAAAGACTTGAATGGCGCCTACACTTGTTGTCTGTACCCCCCACTGGTGGCAATGCAACCTTCCCAGCTCCATGTGCAGCAGTTTCCTGCGGTACCACCAACAGGTCTAGATGGACAAGGGGCAGCAATATCAGGCCAGGCCCAGCCTCCCAGCCCATGGGGTGACTCACCCACCACATGCCACCTTTAGCACTCTGAGGCCTTGAGTCCAAAACTCATCTCCTACCTCAGAGCTGCATGGAAGATAGGCATACAACTTTTCCTGTCCACCTACTGCAAAGGGTTTCTCCATGCCAAATGTGCTGTGGGGACACCCAGCCACCTGGATACTCATGTCCCACCCGGATACTTGGACTATAGCACCCAGAGAAGGCAAGGAAGTTGCCTCTATACAAATTTCATCCTGCTGAGGACCTCATCTGAAAAATGTTCTGTGGAGCAGAAAGCACAGGTGTCTTCATGGGATCAAGAGCTCTTTGCATCAGTGCACAGCAGCAGGACAAGATACAGTAGACATGAAATGCGACTAGAGAGGTGATGAATGGATGGATACAAGGAGAAACGTCTCCCCCATAGGGACAGTCAAGCTGCCCAAGCAGACTGTGCTGTGTTTCTATTCTTGTAGGTGACCAAGACTCAACTAGACAGGCCAGTGCAACCAGATTTGAGTCATTGGTGACCTTGATTTGAGTACGAGATTGGAACAGAAACTTCTAATCTGAGTTATTCATAAGTTATGCATATGATCTGTACCCTTCTCTGGTGCGAGACTCTGCTGTGTGTGTGTACCCTCTCTGTTCTTCCAAAACTCTCGCTGACGCTCTGGCTGCACTTTCCACTTCCCTCTCCCCACGTAAGGCACCACCCCACTACAGGATCTTCTCACCAGCCTCCTCCCAGCTCTGGTTACACAGGCTCCCCACCTCCCCAGGAAAAAGGAGCTGTAAAAGCAGACCTGGACAACAGGGCTATGTCAGTTCCCTCTCCATCCACAGCCCCAGGCAAACACCACTGCTCCAGGCCCCTTCCAGGGGTAGTGGAATCTGTTGGGAGGTGTTTGCTTGAGTTTACCCATGGATCTATTTTCAAGCCTTTGCCTCTTATAGATGTTCCTGTTAGTTTTTCCCTCCCCACGTTGTCTTCTGGTCTCTTTTCCATCCTAAGAAAGCTTTAACGTGGAGCAATTGAAGATAAAAAGGCGCCATGTCCCACCTCTTGTGTTTCAGGTAAGAAACTTTTCCCCCACAGATGCCAATTTCTCTAGGCTACAGACGGAGCTGGGCTCACCTTAGGATCAAAATAATTTAGGATGTAAGTACCTCCATAGACTTCAGGATCATGTCTTCACTCATAGCACGTCCAAATTTAATGCTGGATCCAATTCTGGAGATAGATCAGGCTCTGTCCAACCAAGTTGGAAAGCCCTCCAAGGGCAGAGGTCCCACAGCCTCGCTGTGTCCCTCTTCCAGGGCCTGGAAGAAGTTTTTTAGTTCCAATCCCACCACTCTCCCACCCCTACAGCAGAGAGCATGACCCCTGGAGAGATCTTACTTGCTGTGTTTGCCTGCAACCCCAGCATCCAAATCTTCTCCAGCCCTGGCCACCTTGCTGGTGCAAAGCCTGGCACTAATGCAGTAGCCCTGTGCAACATCAGGGACATGCCACCACATCAGTGCCATGCATCCCACTTTTACATATTTGCCTGCACAATGCCGGGGAACACTTCCTCCTCCCTCCTTCCTACCCTGCACCAACAGACGTCTTGTTCTGTAAATAAAATCATCAACAGCAGAGATGTTTTTAAAAGTGAGATCTTCCCAGGTAGACCAGGAAGGGCCCTACCAGGGTGTGCCGGGAGAGCGGGAACTTGGCAGGAGGCTTTGATCACCTGCCCCAGGAAAGGCTGTGGAAGAGGAATGGTCTATTTGCACCGTTCAGGCACTTGGGAATCCCTACGGCTTTTTCTAGCGAGAGTGGACAGGGCTGGACAGGGCACCCCAGGTCTCTGACAGCGCCACTCCTCGCCAGGAGGCTCGGGCAGATGGCATCTTCCCGGGGTCCAGAGGCGCCGGGCGAGCCCCGCAGCCCGCCTTCTCCCGGGCTCCGCTCCGCGCTGTCGGGCGTCACCCGGGATGGGTCAGAGCGCCGGGACGAACCTGTCGGGGCCGCCGGGATAGGCGCCGTGCCGGGGTCCGGGCTCTGCGGTGCCCAGGTGTCCTGCGGCGCCGTAGCCGTGGGGCAGGGGCGGGTAAGGCGCGGGGGAGCGGCGGCCGTAGACCCCGGCGGGGGCGGGCGGCGAGGCGGGCAGCACGATGCGCCCCGACGGCGCGTACAGCGGTCCGTGACCTCCCGGCGCGTAGGGCCCGGGGGCGGTGGGCAGCGGGCCGTAGGCGTGGGGCAGGGTGGCGGAGGCGCAGCCCTGTGCGGGGAAGGCGGCGGCGAAGGCGCAGGAGGCGGCGGGAGCCGGGGGCAGGTCGGCGGGGGGCGGCGGGGCGGGCAGTGGGAGGAGGCGGCACGGAGCGTCGGGGTGCTCGGCGAGGAAAGCCGGGTAGGTGGAGAGGTCGCTGCGCTTGAAGCGTTTTCTGCGGCGGAGGAAAGACCCGCTCTCGAACATATCGCGGGCGTGCGGGTCCAGCGTCCAGTAGTTGCCCTTGCCGGGGCGGCCGGGCTCCCGTGGCACCTTGACGAAGCAGTCATTGAGCGTGAGGTTGTGGCGGATGCTGTTCTGCCACTTGCGGGGGCTGTCGCGGTAGAAGGGGAAGCGCTCGGTGATGAAGCGGTAGATGCCGCCCAGCGTCAGTCGCCGCTCGGGCGCCTGCCCGATGGCCATGGCGATGAGAGCGATGTAGCTGTACGGCGGCTTGCCCCGCTCCGCCGGACGCTTGCGGCGCCGCCGCCCGCCCCGCGACCCCGCCACCGCCGCCGCCTCCTCCTCTCCTGGCGGCGCCGCGTCCGCCTTCAGCGGCGGGGGCAGCGGCGGGGGGCCCGGCAGCAGCCGGCTCTCGGCGGTCA